CATTTAATAAGATAATTTTTTAAAATTTAAATTAAATTTAAATAAAATAAAATAATTTTAATTTAAAATTTTAATTTATTTTAAAAATCGAAATTGATATATATATTTTTTCTTATTTTTAATATCAATTAATAAAAAATATATTAATTAAACCCTTAACACATACTCACAACTTAAAAAATCCTAATTGTCATATTCCTCTTGATGTTGGTTTTTTTTTTTTTAAATCTATTTTTAATTGTTTGTGATGGAAAGAAATAGGTAGATTTTATGATTGTGGGGTGTGTAAGTGCAACTAGCCCCTCACACGTTCCCAACAAACTTTTTTAACATTAGACTCTCCATTCATCAATTATGTCTCGTTTTGCAACAACTACCTCCCAACCATCTACTAGCCATGATCTTTAAATGCCAGCCACCCTTCTTCTTCTTCTTTATATATACTTCCATCTCCAATGACACCCTGTCCCTTAAACTTAATTACTCTCCAAATCATCATCCCTGTACTCACCTGTCTAAATTGGCAGATCTCTTGGCAATGGCTCCAGCTGCTTTCCACCTCAATCCAGTCTGTGTCATGGACGCTTCAGGCAGCCTAGGCTCCGCCTTGGTTCACCGGCTGCTCAAAGGGGGTTACACCGTACATGCTGCCATTCAAAGCCATGGTTAGAGCAGATATGCAGTTTTATTTATTTACAGTATTTTTTTAAAAAAAATTGGCAATAATTAGTTGCAAGTATGTTTAGTTATTATTGATGTTTGAATCGTTGTGGAATTTTGGAATTAGCAGATACTAATTCGACTAAACTCTATTTCGAGAAATGAAATCCTGAAAACTATGGGGGTGTTTTTTGCTAGGTGATTTAAGACTTGATGGGCTAAGTTCCAGTGAAAATAAAAATTTGAAGATTTTCCATGCGGACCCTTTTGATTATCAGAGCATTATTGATGCTCTGAGAGGCTGTTCTGGTTTATTCTACGCTTTTGAGCCACCACAAGATCAACCCACTTATGATGTAAGTTCAAATTTCTTCTACTAAATCTCTTTTGTACTTTATATTTCAGTAGAAATCCTGAATGATTTTTTCATTTTTTTTCTGTGTAGGAATTCATGGCGGAAGTGGAAGTTCGAGCAGCACACAATGTTTTGGAAGCCTGTGCCCAAGTAGAAACAATAGACAAGGTAGTCTTCACCTCATGTGTCACCGCCGTTGTTTGGAGAGACGATCGGAAGTCAACTGCTTCCGATTTGGACGAGAGGCATTGGAGTGATATCAATTTCTGTCGCAAATTCAAGGTAATTAAATATTAATTTCTCTTCTATCATAAGTATTCATTTTTCTGTGAATAACTTGAGTAGTTTTAAGTAGTTCAGCGGTTATCTTCTTTCTTCCATTTAAAGTAAGAGTTTATTTTACTTCTAAATTGAGCAAATTAATTTCAATTTTCACGATTTTGCATACACAGTTGTGGCATGCCCTGTCCAAGACGCTGGCAGAGAAGACGGCATGGGCGTTGGCTATGGACCGGGGCATCGACATGGTATCGGTCAATGGAGGATTGGTGATGGATTCTGATCTATCCATCAGCAATCCTTATTTGAAAGGGGCGGCGGAGATGTATGAAGATGGGGTGTTTGTCACGGTTGATCTAAATTTCTTGGTTGATGCCCACATCTGCGTCTTTGAAGATGTTTCATCCTTTGGACGATATTTATGTTTCAACAATGTGATCTCTCACCCTGAAGATGCCATTAAGCTCGCCTCCATGTTAACACCTTCCGCACCTTCACTTCCTCAGAGGTTTGTGTTCTCGTTTTCTAGGAGAAAATAATACACGTACTATTATATGGTTGATTTTTTTTTATTTATTTAAGAGTTTGTATACATTAATTTTTATTAGATTATATATTATGATTTTAAATTTATAATTTTA